GCATACTAGGGCAACTAGGGTTATCAAAAGTTAATAATAAGTCTGGGGCTTGGTTATTACTTGAAGTGGTGACACTTTCTGAAGAAGATGTGATACCCTTAAAAGGGAAGCAGTCCTCATCGAAGAGGACATGGCGAGACACATAAATGTGCCTGGTAAACAGATCCAAGCACTTGTAACCTTGGTGATTCAGTGAATAACCTAAAAAGACACACGGTTTTGATTTTGGTTGAAGTTTATTTTGCATGTAAGGTACTAACCAAGGAAAACATCGACAGCCAAAAACCTTTAAAGTGTCATACTTTGGTTTTTTTTGAAAAAGTTTTTCATAAGGAGACGCATAGGATAGAAGTTTAGTGGGCAAACGATTTATCAAATACATGGCCGTGGAGCATGCATCAAACCAAAATCGGTTTGGCATGTGAGATTTAGACAGCATGACTATGCTTGTTTCAATAATATGGCGATGTTTGCGCTCGGCAATGCCGTTTTGTTCAGGGTGTTTAGGACATGAAAACCTTTGTGAAATGCCATTAGCAGCAAGAAATTGAGTAAAGGCACGGCTTTTATATTCGCCACCTTCATCACATTGAAGAGTTTTAAGTGGAAAATTAAGCATTTTTTCAACATTGGCCTTAAATTGAATAAAGATTTGAAACACTTCACTTTTGTGTTTCATTGGAAAAAGCCAAGAATAGCGAGAGTAATCATCCACAAACAAAACATAGTGACGAAAACCTTCTTTCGAAATAATGGGAGAACACCACACATCAGAATGCACTAGTTGCAAAGGAAACGTAGAAACATACTCGGACAATTGAAAAGGTAACTTAGTACTCTTACCTAAGGGACAGGACTCACAAAAATTGACGTTTGAAGGACCATGAATTGGTACCAAATTATTTGAAATTAAAAACTTAATGATAGAATTGGCAGGGTGACCGAGCCTCGCATGCCATGTATTCACTGAACACCGAAGCCCTACAAATGCAGATATTGGATGCTTGAGTTGTCTAATGCCACATGGAAATGGATATAATCCATTCTCACATCTCCCTCGGAAAAGCGTCTTCCGGGTCATGAGGTCCTTAACAAGGAAAAAGGAAGGAAAAATCAGTAGGTAGCAATGGTTGTCTAAAGTAAATTTATGTGCGGAGAGAATGTTTTGGGAGGCAGTGGGACAGTGAAGAATGTTAGGTAAATCAAATGAGCAAGTGGAAGTATGTAATGTATTTGAACCATTATGAGAGATAGAAATGCCAGATCCATTACCTACACCCCCAATAGTTTCATTACCATTGTACTCTTTAGGGTTAGCCAGATTCTGAAGATCAGGAGTAATGTGAGCGTTGGCACCTGTGTCGAGCAGCCAGGTTCCATTCTTTTGTTTGTTGACAGTGACTGGAGAAGACGTCATTGATGTGAGTTTGGTCGCTGGAATTCTGCCTTCAAATGCAGCATTCATTCTGTGATAACAATCAAGGGCCGGATGACCTGGTTTGCCACAGATTTGGCAAACAATCCTCTCACCATTAGAGCCAACCCGCTCGCTACTGCATGGCAGAGTGCGGAAGTTGGTGTTGTTGTTGTTACGAGGTGCAGGTCCTCGGTGATTAAAAGAAGTACCTCGAAAGGATGAGGATGCTCCTCTTCCAGTTCCTCGAGAGCGACCAAACCCTCGTCCTCGAGAGGCAACAAAGGCATTAACCTGCGCAGATTCCACCAAAGGAGTAGTGTGCTCAGCCATGCGACGTTCGGTGGTTAACAGCAGAGCCTCAAGGGTAGGATATGTGATTGGTGAATCACGGGCTTGAGCTGCACTGACAGTCATCTCAAAGGCAGGTCCGAGATTGTTCAACACAATCTGAACGAGTTCATCATCACTCACAGGTTGCCCTGCTAGGGCAAGGTTGTCAGCGATTGCGTTCATGCGATCTAGGTAATCCGCGACAGGAAGATCACCTTTCTTTGTCTGCAGCAATTCATTTCACAAAAACAAAATCCTATTTTGAGAAGTAGAAGCATACCGTTGCTCGAGTGCTTCCCAGGTGGCTCGAGCAGTCCTCTTGCTTGCCACGACAGACAATACAGACGCTGTCAAAGATCCATTGATCCAACTGAGGATCATTTGATCCTGTTGAACCCATGCAGTGTAGGCAGGATTCACAGCTGTTGAACCAGACACATACTTGGACGGGGACACCAAGGTACCATCCACATATCCCATCAGATCTCTACTTTTGAGAATTGGGAGGATTTGGGCCAACCACAGTGGGTAATTGGTTCTGTCAAGTTTGATGTTAACAACAGTGGAAAAAAGGTGAAAGGACGGATTGGTAGTGGAGTTGGGAGTAGGGTTTGTATGGGAAGAGGAGGGGGTCACATTGTTGTCAGCCATTGGAGCGTGGGGAGAAAAGGATCGATGTCGTTAGACAAAAAAAAAAATAGGCTCAATACCATGTAAAATCTAGAGACACAGTTTGTTTCCCTTCAATTGCATGCCCCATCAATCATGGGATGCATGTATTTATAATACTTCCATAATTACAGATTGGGTTTGAAAACCCTAGATACAAGAAGTTGTGAACAACTAAAATACAATCAGATCCTAAAGATAGGATTACAACTACAAGATCAGATTACAACAGAAACAAATACCAATCATTCCTATAAACGAGGAACGGCTTGAAAAGATAGAAGTTTAAACCAAAGTAAACTCCACAGGTTTCGGTGATGTGCTGGACAACTGACTTCGTCTAACAGCAACTTGTAACCAAAATACTTGGTTTCGACTTCTAGTGTCCCAAAGAAGCTAGACCATCTGCAAGTGCAACAATGGCTTCACGCAAAGCATGACGAATATGAGCAACCCGAACATTCACCATTAAACTCCACATATCTTTCATCAGTGAAAGAAGACGGCATGATGGTCGTTTCTCTCCACCAAGTAGGTTGATCAAAATTTAAGAATCTTCCACCAGAATGTTCGTTAGATCTAATCGTAAGTTTCAACCCAAGGTTTCTGCTTCAACCACAAAAGATAAGCAGGATAGCTCTAACTCTTTTTGCCAAGCAAAAACTAAAAACCAAATAGTTATCAAGCAAATCCTACATTTCTTATTCCGCTTTGGTTTTTCTTCTAAACTTTGTGCGGAATTGACATTATAGATGAAGCTTCTCAAGAAAATTCAGGTTGAAAGCGTCTCAACGCTTAGTTACAATTTTTCAACTAAACCCATCAGAACAGACAGACACCATACTTAGACCATCTGCAACCGAAGGGTCAAAGTGCCAAAAATGACCAGAAAACTGTTTCCAATTGAGGGTCAGGTCAAAGGGCTCGTGGATTCCACTGGACAAAAAATGGCCAAAAGGCCGACTAGCAAGGCCAAATGAGCCAGCCAACTTTTTTTTTTTTTTTTTTTTTTTTCAAATTTTTTTTCCCTATAACTTCATGCCATTAAATTCAATTAAGTAAACATGAAACAACATCAAACAATATGAAACAACATTAAATAAAAATTATACAACATAAAAAAAAACATTTAACGACATTTTTTTCGGCCAAGATTTGTAGCTTTTAAATTTAAGTTGTAGTTTCTAAATATAAGTTGTAGTTTTTAAATTTAAATAATAAATTATGTTTAGCCCTTTGACCCTCATTTGAAGACGATTTTTTATAACAAGGCTAAAACAAACCCTATGGCCCTTTGAACCTCGGTTGAAGATGATAAGAAATATGATCATGCACTTTTCATTAAAATATTAATTTCTTTGAGGGCCAGAGAGCTAAAACGAGCCCTCTGGCTCTCCTTCGGTTGGAGATGGTCTTACAAGTTCATGTTGCAATTCGCCGAAATTATCAGAAATCATCCAAGAATGATAACAAATTACGCTCTCGTCCGTATATCAAGCTCCAAAATTATATGTTTCACAAACTAAAGCATCATGGCTGAATGCATTGGTGAACCTTTAACTCAAAAATGCTAATCCAGAAATTCCTTGGGCTCTATATATATATATATATATATGTATGTATGTGTGTGTGTGTATATATATATATATATTAGATGTAAACTAGCTGCACAATTAACATAAACAGCAAATCATTTTGTATTTATTCAAAATAACTATAGGCCATATGCAAGTCGATATTCTCTCACCTGAATCCTCCTTTATCGCGATGACAACGTACACATCAAAACTCAATATCACTATGCTATTGTTACACAGTAACTTAAGTTAATGACAGCTCTGAGAATTTCACGAGATTTTATTGATTATATAGCTCCTCATCATGGCTCCACACCATGTAACAGAAAACTTTATGAATATAAATATCCAGATACACAATATTAAACGTAACAGATGCATAAATGAAGCATGTTAAGAATAAAATAAAAAATCCTGTCATACTATTGTACGACTACAATTCTAGAACAATAATCTGCTTCCTTGGAAGTGAATACCAAAATCATACCGATTGAACTTTTCCAAGTAGAAGCAGCTAATTGCACAATCATGGAATCTAGGTATGGTATATCTCAAACTTACAACGGTAAGTCTCTTAGAAATGATTATCAACATACCACCGCCATGATGAACCTTGGCTGAAATTAATATATCTAGTAATTACACTAAACAGTAGGAGGCATTTTGGGTACCTTCTGGTCATTCTTTAGCTGTGCATTTGCACCTGCGCTGATGCTCCGAAAGTTCCTGCCATGTTTCGAATTTTTTATTACGTAACTTCCCTTCAATGACACAGCAGAGACAGACATAACATCTTATTCAAAAGAGGGAGCAAGAAAGGAACAATACATTTTCCATTCAAATCTTTCCCACGTGTCTTGTTTGAGGAACAATACATTTTGACAAAGTTTCGTCAACAAGGTCAATGTTTATAATACCTGAATCTGCTTCTGAAGAAACTTCACATACTCCACCGCCTCGTCTAACATATCGGCAGTATTAGTTTGCTGCAAAGAAAATCGACAGAAGCACCACACCAAACAATTGTAAGCTATTGTCCGCTTAGTTTCACAAAACAAATAAAAAGTTTGGACAAGGTTCATATACACAATTTACAGATTTTGAAGTTATTCAAAATATCTTCCGGTTTCTATTCTCTGTAGAAAATTTTAAGATGGTTTTACAAATGCTAGGGTTAAGAAGTTGGAAGGACACAGTTTTATACAAAAATGTTCTCTTGGTCACCTGGTGACCACGAGATGCATGGTCGCTCATCCTTTGATTCGATATCATGGATTAGATATGCTTTTAATGTTCTAATCTCAACCCTTAATATCTAATCCAAGGGTAAGTGACCATGTATCCTTGGTCACCAGGTGACCAAGAGAATGGGACTCGAGTTTTATAAGTATTAGGATTTCAAGTTCGAAGTTTATTTATGAAAGGTAAAAATTTAATAAACATGAAACAAAAACAATTACATTACCATGGGACAAGCAGTCCTATGATGTTACAAAATTGAATAAGTTGCAATTACATAACACACACCACAATCTCAATAAATTGTAGCCACAGCCCAATCCGAATGGATGAGGAAAGTGTTTATTTAAGCTATTTAGAAACCGAAGCCCACTATAATGCCAAACAACACACTCGTTCCCACGAAAGGGATACCTCCTCTCCTCATATTCCTTCAAAATCCTAGCATTCCTTTAGACACAAATGTTCAAAATCCATCAGCTCCATCATATTTGCACCTTTTCTGCTCCACCGAAGGTACAACCTCTCTCTTTTATAAAGTACGCATGACTAGGGAGTCATAAAAGTCAACCTTGCCGCCCTAAATAACTTTCTCCATAAGCAAGTGAGACCAATGGCCAAAATAACACTAAGTTCACCAACATATACATATTCTTTTCAATAATCACTGTACTGTTATGGCTTCACTGCAGGCTGCAGCGATGCAACTTGTTCCCACACATGACGTTTGTTCCATACACTGAAAAATGCTCACATGCTACTCTCTTAAAGAATTTCATTCACTCAAATTCTTCAATACAAGATTCAAGTGATTACTACAGTTTGAAGCATGAAAAGTATTGCTACCACATCACCATTATAGCAACGATAACCGTGCATAGAAGTACTCTATTTAAATAGCCCCCAAGCCAAAGAGTACTCGTGACCTCTACAACAACAACACAAGACAACAAAGCCTTTTCCCACTAGGTGGGGTCGGCTGTGGGAAAAAATGCGTTAGTGTACTTTTCTCATTTCATTGTAATTTTCTTGACCATTATTATTTTTTTTATCTAAAAGATATTATCTTTATCAGTAACATTCCTAACTTGTTACCCTACAGGTTAAGCTTGATGGTAATTTGAAATATAATGGATGCTTACAGTTTACTGCATATCGTGATAACTTTGCATCTCAATAAAAAGCGGAGAAGAAAGGAGTTGCAAAATACGAAAGTAAACAAGAAATCATTTAAATGTTTATTAACCATTAAAATTGATGCAGATAATTAAAACAACCCTTCATAACCCAATGACCTATCTGGGATAATTTTCTTGTAGATACACTCCTTAAACAAGCATCGACCCACAAGCCTTTAAGGAAAGTTGATGCAACTTCGAATAGACGTGGGTCTGAATTCTAAGATTTCATCATAAAGTAGATACTGATTGCTTAAATTTAAAACCTATACAATGGCTATAATAATGAATACATCAACCATATACTGTTACCATTTCTGTAAGTTATCTTATGCTGTAAAATGTTTAATTCAAACATCTAGACTCCAAATCTACAAAAATTTGATTGCCTAGATTTAAAATCTAAATAGTTGAGAATCCAAAACGAGCCTTAAATTTGTTTGAGATATGATTTTTCATACAATTCTATAGTTTAAATTAATTTCACCACTACTTAGTTTTCAATATTCATGACACAAATGTTAATCATAAAAAACATGGTTAAAGTAAGTGATGCAGGACTCGAAGGAGAGATTTTTCCAAGTCCCAGGTATTCAAGCGGTACTCCACATGTAATAATACAAGTGGAGTAACTAATATAATTTTTTTTGTGGCCCTCCACTTATTTTATGACACGTAAAGTATCTGCTTGAATACCAGACATTTGGAAAATTTCTCGACTAGAAGAACTAAAATGTGTAGAAAACCGGGGCCTTAAAACTATACAAAAATTGATAAAAATAAACTGAATAGGAAGGAGGTTCAAGCCTCAAGGGTGTACCTTATCCATGTTGGGCACAAGCTCTTGAAGCTTCCTTATGCGATCACTGATCTTAGTCCTCCTGACCTATAATATAAAAAATTAACCAACAAATTAAATTTGGTATCTTATAATTAATATAAATAAATTCCTTCACCTTTCAAATTTCTGGAGAAATATATACAATTAGTGTGTAGGTAACAAGTGATTAAGTTAAGTTAATGGAAACAATTACAAACCCTTTCAGCAATGCTCCTGGGATGCGTAGCACAACCACGCTTGGCCCTCACCCTGCAACCCACCGAATCCTCCAATCCTCCTTCCTCCACTTTCTGCCATTTCACAAATTAATCCAGATTACTAAATTTAATTTTAATTAATTAATTAATTAAACTAGATTAACAAACTAATAACCATATAATTCATTAAATAAAAAATAAAAAACTGACCACATGTGTGTCGGAGGAAAAGTGGTGTTGCTGTTGCTCCCGAACCCTCTTATTAGCAGAGGAAGAAGGGCTGTTTGGGGACAACGACGACGACGGCGACACAAAGTCGAGGTGGGCCGGAATTCCAAACCCGGCGAAATATCCCCCCGACCCCCCGCCGCCGCCATTAAAATCAGCCGGTGAGCTTTTCTGTCGACTAAGGTACCCAGCTGCACCATCATACAAAGCTGGATCCACCGTCGTACAAGGCGTGTTGCCGGCAAGAAGCTCAGTCAAGCACTGTGTCGGCTTCAGTGGGTCCTCCTCGTCCTCTTCAAGCAGCGCTTCTAACCATGTGGCTGGGGCCGAGCTGTACCGCCCGAGTCCGCCTCCTCCTTGACTCACTTCACCGCCGCTGCTTCCGCCGGCCGCCCGTTGCATCTGCTTTGGACGGACACTCAGACTCAGCTCTTTGCTTGCTCGCTCGCTCGCTCCTTCAGTACCTTTAATAATAAAATAATAATAGCTTGAATTATTTTCTATTTTTGTTTCCGCCCGTCCTTCCTTTTCCCCTCTGAGCTTTTGATGGTTTCAATATTTGGAGAAAGAGAAAGAAAGGAAAGGAAAGAGGAAAAAGATAGACTTGTACTTGAGCGACAATTAATGGCCAGGCTCAGATCAGTATCTATTTGTGGATTCTCTTCTTCTTTTTTTTTTTTTTTTTTTTTTCACAATCTATATTAATTAATAAAACACTCATTGTTAATCAAAATTCTATAAAATTATCAGTTTAACTCTCTAATTAAAATAAAATATGAATAAGAAATATGGAACATAAATATAATTTCATACAATCAAATTTTGCTTTTTTTTTTTTTTTTCAAAATCTCATTTTCATGTAATCCCAATATATCTCTAACTAAATAAAAAATAAAAAAAGTTCCCACTTCCGCATTTTCTTCCTCTCTCTTTGTATTTCAAAAAATAAAAAATAAAAAATTTTCTCACACACTTTATGTGTACCCATATACTAGTATTTTATAATATTAATGTGTAAATTTTATTAAAATTATGAAATGACAGAGAATATAATCTCACTTTTGAAAATCTCTTTTCTCTTTGAACTTTTTACTTTGATTACTTTTGTTTTCTTGCCTCTTCAATGTTGTACCAAATCAAGAAAATGAAATCTCTTAGCTGGAGAATAACTCAGATAGCATGTGTACATCATTATAATTTTGTGTCAATAAAATAAATATATTTGAACAAAACTTATATATGTCTTCATTTTATTAATACATAATGTCACTGTAGTGATATATTTGTATATGCAAGCCTTTATCCATCAAACTAAAACATTCTTGGTTAAAAGTTATATGTTTTCGTTTTATCTTAAATAAGGTCATCTCCAGCTGAAGGATCCAAAAGGCCAGAGGGCTGAAAATAGCTCGAAAACCGTCTCCAACCGAAAGTTAGGCCAAAGGGCTCGTGAACCCCACGGGACAAAAGAGGACCAAATGGGCAACCAACTGGCCAGCCCACTTTTTTTTCTTTTTTTTTTTTTTTTTTTTTTTTTTTGTTCTTTTCCATTTGCCCAACCACTTTAGGGTTTAGGGTTTTAGATATTTTTTTTGTCCCAACCCACTTTTTTTTTTTTTCTAATTCTTTTTCCTACTCCATTTCTCACATATTTTTCATCATTGAACATTATCTTACTTCATTTTATTTCAAATTTTTCACATTCCATACTATAGCCCTTTGGCTCTCAATTGGAGATGGTTTTTTGTCATAGGGCTATGTTTGACCTATGGCTCTCTAGCCCATTAGTTGGAGATGGTAAAAAATATAATCATGCACTGTTTATTAAAATATTAATTCTCTTGGAGGATCAGAGAGCTAAAATGAGCCATTTTGCCTTTCTTCGGTTCAAGATGGTCTAAGTGTTAGTGTTTAATATGGAAAAGGAAACAAACATGATTAATATTCGTGCCAAGCAGTTAAATATATCATAACTACGAAAAAAAATTAGTCCATGAAGCCGTTTGTGTTAAGAGTTTGATTCAATATAAGAGTGTTAAAATCTGCAGAATGTCATTTTTGTAATACAGTTTAGTACTATTTTGTTTTCACTTGTAAGTGAGAGATCTTACGTTCGATTCTCGTAAAAGGAGAATTTGAACCATATTATTGCTAGTCCATTATGAGGGTAAGTCCACCTCATTTCCCTTAATGTAGTTAATATCACTTGTTAAAAAAATAAAAATTGTAGAATACCAATACATAATGTCTCCTTTATTGTGCATGTGGCATCGGTTTGTTTGGAAGTGCTTTTGATTACAGTGTTTTTGAAATCCAAAAGCACTTTAAATACTTCATTCAAGAAGTACCGTTTATGGATTGGTTCTTGTAGAAAGTATTTAAAATACCTTCTAATAATTTATTTACGTTTTTACTAAAAATTGATTTCAAAAACACTTTCTATAAAAACGATTTTAGTCATTTTAAAACAACTTCAAAAAAATCTATCCCTAACATTGAGTGCCTAATAATTGATAAATATCTCCTACCACATAAAGATCTGTCGGCCTTTGATTTAGCAAGTACGCGAAAATGAAATGAAATGATAGCAAACATCTGTTTTCCAAACCGTAGCTCCTCCTTGATTTTGGACCGTTGGATGGGTGGAAAAGGTGTATGATTGCTAAAGTCAACGGTGAATGATGAGTAATAATGACGTGCACGTTACTTATAGGGTTGGTTGCACATATACGTGTGGTTGGACGGTCACGGACCCTGCAAGGCTGGAGTGCCGCAACGTCATCGTTCTGGACCGATAACGGCGTCTTCAATGTCACAAAGACTGGCAAGCCCCAGACGAGACACAGCGCGTGGAGGAACTTATGGATTAAAATGGATACGAGGGTGACATTGGCGCGTGACGTAAATTATGTTGGGTAGATATTAAATTATGTTGGGTATATATGGTTATGCTTTTTGTGGCAAATTTAAGGAGAGGAGACAGCAATGGTTCCCATTCTACAAAAAGAAAGTTATTGTTTTGGCTTTGGATGTGGACCTTTTACTTGCTGTCATCTGTTTTGAAGGGAAATTTTTCAGTGTACTTAAAACATGATTCGGTACATTATATAAGTGGTTGAATTTTCTCAAGTATCCGAATATTTATACTATGACAGTTAGTGTATCAGAGCATGTTTCCGGCACATTAAAAACCTCTTCTACCAAAGGGTTTGTGAGAATAGTGGGGACCCATATCAGTAGGGTGGAGTGGTTGAATTTTCTCAAATATCAGACTATTTATATTATAACCCTTGGTGTATCAGATCGTATTTCTAGCACAAAATTCCTCCTTTGCTAAAGTGTTTGTGAGAATGGTGGGGACCCATATTGTTAGGGTTGGGTGGAATCCAAACGGCTGAAATATGTTGGGGAAGATTGTGATTTTTCAAAAATGGGACTCACTTTGTACATAAGTAGAATTGTCTGAGCCGAAAAATGATTAAATTGCCCTTCAATGAGCGACATTTACTTGCTATCTTGTTAATATTTGGTCGTTATTTGGTTATTCCCTACGTTCTTTAATTTTCATTGTCGTGTCTTTAAATATAAGTGAGTGGTATAATCGTTTTTCCACTAATTAAGCATTTCATAATAACTAATTAACTTTTTTTTTTTTTAACAATTGATACTATCTACACTAAAAGAAATGGATGGACTTAGTCTCACAATGTGGTTCAAATTCACCTTTGGCGAGAATCGAACCTATTACCTGTCACTTACATATAAAATGAATATCATTAGATTGTGGTACTAAGTAGCAACTAATTAACTAATTTTTTAATACATACGACATTATCTACACTAAAGAATGAAGAAGTGAATTAAGCATCACAATAAGCTAATCGTAATAATTTAGTTTAAACTCGCCTTTAGAGATGATTGAACCTAAATCCTAACTAATTTAATTAATTATTTCCTCCAACTCATCATTCCAATTTATTACGTCGTAATACCTTAATTTAGGTATAAAGAACGCGATTGACTAGATTATAAATCAACGAGAGACACTGAGATGACTCTATTCAAATCATTTTAACGGATTTACACATCTTTGAATCCATCTCATAATGAAGATAATAATTATCTTCGAGCATCACACAGACTATAATGTTAACAAAGAATTTCTAGATCATATTAACAAAGTATTCAACCTTCTCTTATCGAATGTTTAGTGTTGTCATTCACATGTCAGTGCGAATAGGTTATTACAGTTTGGGGGGTGTTGGTCTCCAAGAACAATAATTGGTCTCCAAAAACAATAATTTGTAAGTTTTTTTTTCTTTTTATAGTCAAAGGAAAAGTTAAAAAAGAATTAAAAAAAATGTGAAGATTATTTTAGAAACAATAATGGGTGGGAAAATGATGTTTTTACTTTTTAATTTTGACAGTGGTGAAGAAATAAGGTGGGTGGAGAAATAGTGAAATGTGGTTGATTCTGGCAACTCCTTACATTTTATTATACTAGCTTATTGCCACAAACTCACGCATATGGCAATTTGTTTTTTTTCTGGCATATTTTTATCTTGTAACTTTTATAGCTTTTAATTTTTATTTTTTTTTAAGAAATTTTTTTATTATTAAAAGGAGAGTTCGAAACTATTATAATAATTTATTAATTTTACTCTTTTTGCCATTTTATTATTTTATCTAAACTACATTAATAAAATTCCTTTTGTCAACTAAAAGAGGGTAAAAAGACAATTTTGTCTTCTACCACACAACAAAATCATGGGCAGTGAAGTAAATTCACACAAACTCAATTTTATAGTTTTTTTTTTTTTTTTAAAGCCTCACCCAAGGGTGATCCTAACATCCTGTAATTTTGAAAAATAAAATATATAAAGGAAAACTTCTCTTTAATCCACATTCATTTTTGCTCCCTTTCTCCTTCCCAATTTAAAATAAAAATAAAAATTATTTTCACACACAGAGTGTGGGGCATATGCTAGTTTCTATAAACTAATTTCTTTTTATTTTGGAAACTCTTATTAAGCAGGGATAAATTGTTTTGGTGATTTGAATAATTTACTAAAGGGTTTTTGACACGCCCTGATCCCCATATCCTCCAAACATTAGGATAGGCACGTGCTGGCCAACATCCGAAGGTGACGAAGTCATTTTAACATGCATGCAAGTTATGAAGAAAGAACGAACATAAATAAAATATGTAAAATTTAACATAACAAAATATGTGAATGTGGGAACGTGTTCAGAGCATACAACTAATAAAAAATAATATGAAAGGAATATTATAAAAATGGTACGAACAAAGGAACGGGTCTTCCACCGAGAGAACTCGAAGATACCAATGCGGAAGTACCTTTACGCCGGGATCGTACACCTTGATTCTAAGTCCTGAAAGATGTGCAAAAAC